TATTATTATTATTATTGTTGTTGTTGTTGTTGTTGTTGTTGTTGTTGTTGTTGTTGTTGTTGTTGTTGTTGTTGTTGTTGTTGTTGTTGTTGTCGTCGTCGTTGTAATAAGAGCTTAAAAGAATGAAATTTGGCTTTATATCATTAGCTATATCATTAGACGTAAATTAAGAGCTGAATTGAACTGAACTGAAATGAGCTGAACTGAACTGAACTGAATTTCAACGGAAGAGAACAGGCCCTAATTTGTTTTTAGGGTAACGATATATGTAGGCAATGTAGCGGGCCTTAGGGTTATACCCAATATATATTATATAACTATATAAGCATTAATTTACTTTTTTAAAATGGAATTAAGTTGAGATTCATGATAACATCATGCACAAATTGGTGTAATTATTGTTAATATATCCTTAATATTTTCTTTTTTAACTTCTTATACATAGCTCTTAGGAAGAGATATGTTAATGTTTATCAATTTCCTTTTTAAAAACAATTCTTTGTAACATAGTGTAAGAGATTTTAATTTTAATTTTAAATTTTTTTTTACATGTGCATAACCAAACAAGTTACATAGTATGATACTCAACATCAAAGTCCTACTTTTTTTTTTGTTTATTTTGAGAACAAGTTAAATGCCATATTATCAATCAATGGATAAAGTGTCTATAAGTACATACGGAGCAATAGTAGGAGGGCAATGATACTCCCAAATTTGCTCATAACCAAACAACACTAACTTAGCAAGGTGATGGGCAACAACATTCTTATCCTTCTATAGTTCTATACATTGAATTAAACTAGCACTTACGGAGTACAAGTACTACACATGCAATAATACAATAACAAGACTTTGAAATTAATTAAAACTTCAACTTTGGAATTACATTGAGCGTAAATCTTATTTATTCCTCACTTCAGTTGGAATATTTAGCATTGGGTATACATGAAAAGACGACTTATATGCTATATTGATCCACATATTTCAAGTTCAAAAAACTATCATAAGAAATGTGTTAGATCAAATATGAAAACCATCATGAACTTTAACCTATCCACTAGCTTAATCTTATGGTTAAGTTGATTTGATAACCTAATAACATTTGACAATATTAATCCAATGAATAAATTAAATCATAATTATTGGTTCACAAAATGTATCTTCTTTTTTATTTTTATTTGAAAGATACCTATTCCATTACAATATACTTCGTATATACCTAGTACTCTATGTAAATTATGATTAAATCGTAACTAAATACTAATTAATCATAATTACTCGATTGAGCTTACGACTACCCATGATTCTCTTGCTGCCTACTTTCTTCTCTGGTATATTTTTAATGTTTTTTTCTAGCATTTTATTGAGGCAATTATTTTCTTATGTTTAGAGTAGAGTATATGTTGGTGAATATTCCCCTCTTTTTTTTTGTCCCTATTTGTAATAATAAAAAATTATTCGAATTCCACCTGAGATTGAGTTTGTATAATTCTATGTTGATTTAATAATTTGTATACTATGATTTAAAATCTATTTAAATAATTATCTGGCTACCGATTGAGATCGATCCTTGATTTATTGCGCATAATTATGTATTATTATGATTTTAATTCAATTATTTATTTTTACCATTTAAATAAATAATTATTTAAATCAGAATAATTGAATTATTACGATTTAATTATAAAATCACTGCTTTTTAATTGTTCTTGCTCAGAATAAACAATACTAACGATTTAAGATATCCTAATCACGATCTTAAATTCTTAATCTTTTCACAATTAAATTAGAAATTAAAATAATGACGACCTTGATCTACGCAAGCAAGCCATATAAAAATGAATTGATGATGATGTAATACGTTACTAATTGTAATTGATTTGAGACTGTAATTTGTTAATTTGGGATCAATATCAGCCTCGGTAAGTTGGTAAATAATATGGTCGATTAGAACACTAAGCTTCTTTTAATACGATAATTGTTTATAATTACATATCATATTTAAGATTCAACAAGATTATTGATTTGATCATATGTGTTTCCTTGGACTGACATACGAAACACGTTGTATGAATAAGCGTTTTGTTCGCGAAAAAGTTATTGTTAATCAAGTTTGATTTTCACTTATTGTACGGGAAAAGGTTGCTCTCCGTCAATTCTAAGACATACGTTTTGGTTACGTTGTAAAAAAGATTACTCGTATTTCTAATTAAGTCTAAGATCTATGTTTGTTCCCGAAAAAAGGTTATTCTTGGTCAAGTCCAAGCTCTTTATACGTGTGATAAACTCTTCCAAGGGCCTACCTTGTTCACGTAGTACACATTGTGTGTATGTTATTCTCAACGAGTCAACGTTATGGTTTGTTTTAGTCCTGCTTTCACAAATTACATTGTAAATCAGCTTTGTGCATGTACTGTGTTATTGTGTATTTTCTTGTAAACAAATAGTAGTGATGATTAACATTGTATGAGCAAGACATTAACAGTTATTTCCCTTAGCTTAACATTAAATTATTGTTGTAAAAAAACATTAAATTATTATGTATTCGTATCATCTGGGTGTACGTGCACCCAACTAATCCAATATTAGTTTTTGCTTTTCGTTTGATGATTAAATTAAATACAATCATCAAAATGAGAATAAAATTCTCATGAGTATAGGCCATACATTGTATACTCGGATGTATATAACAACTAGATGAAGCCCGTGCGATGCACGGATCGATCTATTTTTTTCTAAAAAATATTTTTTATATTTATGTGATTACATTGTTATTTTATTAGTTGTACGTAATATATCATTTTCTCCGTATTTGTTTTAAAATATTAGATAAAATTCCTAATCTCAAAAGATTATATTTCGTATTTAATTAATGTAACCATTAAAATCTCATTGGTCAATTATGCTTATGTGGCACTTGAATTATTTATTGAATATAACTATAATTTATAATCTTACGTGACACGTTAACTAATTTTAGGTGGCATAATCCTATTGTAGCGTTTTAAAAATATTAATCATATGTGGCGCTCTAATAATTTTTTAAAAATAAAAATCCTACATGTCGCTCTAAAATCTCGGGAAAAAACTCCCCTTTATATATACTACATATATTAGATTTCTCATATCATACTAGATTTTGCCGATTGCCATATATCCTACAAGGCTACAACATGGATCCTTTAAACAGTTTAAAGTACATATATGGACGTCATGTGAAGTGTGTTGGGCCCTGGCCCTGAGTCATACACTCATACGGGATATGAAAAGGGTGTAATATAAAAGTACGAGTAAGACGGAAGATAAAGATTTTAGGTGGAATTTTTTTTTTTTTTGGATGTACATTTGTTATAACTAAATAAGTACGGAGTACTTCATATCATTAGAAAAAAAAATTATAAAATCAAATTTTTTGTAAGTACACACGTTTAATGTAAGAACTCTTGAATAAAGGTGGGTTGACAAAAGGCATGACACATCCCAACATGAATAAGCAAGGTTTCAACAATCTTTATTTGGGGAAAGCACAATTAGGCCTAACTCGGCCCTATTTGGCACTACAATTCTACAAAGCATGGTGTAATCAGTGAAATTTGATTTTGATACGCATGCATGATATGGCCCAATATAGTGGTACATGATGGGTTTGGACAAGAGGTTATCAAAGTTAGCCCGGCCTAAACCAGTTCGACTTTGGCACGGGTTTTGGGCAGAAACTTTCAGTTTGAAATCGGGTCAAGCCTAGCCTGACCCGAAGTTTTTTTTGGGGGGCGGGTTTGGGATCAAAATGTTTTTTATTTTTATTATTTTTTTTTATAATTTTTTTGGTCCAGCCTGTAAAGCCCGCATGACCCGACCATTTTGGACAGGTTTGGATCACAAAAATCCCAACCCGCTCCGGTCCGAGAAGTGGACTGATTTTTTGGCGTCGGCCTCGCCTACTTAATGATCACCTATAGTTTGGACTGTACATGGCCCGTCCAATGATTTTTCAAAATCTATTTTGTTCACATTCCCTTTATTTTATTAATGCAACTTTGTATTATATTGTTGTTTTGTTTTTGCTAATTTTAATCGTATAGGTGGTTATCTAAACAATAATCAATTAACCACTCAATTGAAATAAAAAAAAAATGGGTAGGAAGCAAAATTACATTAAGGGCCTGTACACTTCAACTTAATTTTATTTTAGTTCAGCTCACTTCAACTCTTAATTTCCTTCTCTCATAAAATATTCATTTCCGCTCTATTTAGTTCAGTTCAGTACAACTTCAATCAGTTCATTTCAGTAAAAAAAATCACGAAAATGTTTTTTCCATAAAAACTCCTCAAATTTTATTTTACCAAAAATTCTACTTCCTCCGCCACGCATTATGTGCAACAAACCTTGTTGCACGTTTCCCAAGATAAAATTTGTTAATGTTGATTAACTAAATGAAAGGTGTGTGCTTAAGGTTAGGAGAGAGAGTTAATGGCCACCACTACACCACCTGCCAGCAGCAACATCCACCACCACCCCACTCGCCGTTACCACGTAACCACCACCACCCCACTCGTCGTTACCACGTAACCACCACCACCTTACCTAGGCCTACCCCGTAACCACCACCACCACCACCATGATCCGAAACCCCACCAGCCAAATCGCGGAACCCCATCACCTGAGCGAAATTGCGACAACGTGAAACCTCAGTAGCCAATTAATCGCGAAAACCCACCACCTGAGCGACGCAACATCGCGAACCCCACCATCCAGATCTGAAACCCCACCGACGCAACCAAGATCTGAAACCACCGCAACCAATCTCACCCAGTTCGCAACCACCACAAACCACCCTTTACACACTTTCTCACCACCGCAAACCCTAATCAATTTTCAGGATTTCAATTTCCAGAAGGATCGGCGACAATATCATGGAGGAGGAGGCCGGTGACTCGATCGGCGGTGGATCTCGGCGCAACAGGGGTAGGTTTGGGCGACAGAGGCGACTTTGGGGGGGGGGGGTTTCACGGAGACATCAATGGAGGAGAGGTGCTCAAGGGGATTCGGGGTTGGGACTGGGTGGGTGGGTGGGCGATTTCGGCTGGTGTGGATCGAACCGTCGCTGTGAGAGAAGCGCGAGAAAAATGGTGGTGGCAGTGGCAGTGGCAGTGGCGGCTACGAGGTAGGTGAGAGAAAAGTTGGTGATAATGGTGGTGGAGGTGGTTGTGAAGGAGGAGAGAGATTGGGATGGGTTTAGATGATTGATTAATTAATTTTGGTTAATATGTTAATAACATATAATCTTAATCATTTAATATGTGTTAGTAAAGTTAACTAAGGGTACATTGGTCATTTTAAGTAAAAAAAATTACTAAAAGGGGAAAGTTTTAGTTTGTTGCAGATAATGTGTAACATCCATTTTTAGAAAATGTTGCACGTAATGCGTGGCGGAGAAAGTATTTTTTTTTCCTGACCCATTTTTTTTGGCCTATTCATATTTTATTGCAATTTCATAAAAGCCTAATTGCCCACTTTAAGCCCAAAACAGAGTAAATTCATTTATATATACTACGTATGTGTTTTCTTTTTTCCTCGTTTGTTTTCCTTTCACTATTTCGTTGCACTTCTCTCTGGTTCTCTGGTACTCACTCTAGAATCCTCCATTGAAGCAGCTTCGAAGCTTTGACGTTCTTCATTCCTACCTCTCTCAGTTACTTCATTGCAGCGCACTCAATGTTCTCCATTGAAGCGTTCTCCGTTGAATCTAATTCTTGTATCCTCCATTAAAGCAGCTTCTAAGGTAACTTGTTTGTTGTTGTTATCATCATATCAATTTCACAATGTAGGGTTTATATTTCATCCAATCTAATTCAATTATCACTGCTTTAACTTTAGGGTTCGTAATTGTCAACTATTGGTTCTAAATTCTTAGATTACAATAAGAAAAGAAAATTATGAGCCTAATTTTGATTATTGAAATATCCCTAGAATTATGAGATAATTGAATATGAAATTAAGTTTTATGCACGAAATTATGGTAATTGTTACAATATATTATACGAAGGTGAAATAAATTCATATGGCAAAAGCATCTTCGGTGACAGAGGGTATTATCAGTGACAATGAAGAAGAATTTTTTCTAGATGATTCTGATATAATTGACGAGATTGTACTCGATGATGAAGGTCAGTATTATTTTATTTTGATTTTCCTTTGTTTCTTTATTATTGCTCTTATACAAATTATTATGTAATCGTTGTTTTTTTGTGGTAATTAATTAATGCAGATCTCCCTGATGTTGAGGATGATGATGATGAAGAAAATGTCTCTGAAGGTATTTTATATTTCTAATTTTAGTATTCACTTGTCCCTGAAAGAATGACCCTTTTGTGCTGATTTTGCGTGTTGTAGTAAAACCATAAAAGTACATTGGAAAGTGGAATTGGGGGTTTGTAAAAAAGTAGTGAGAGAAAATAATAAAGTACATGAGAAAATAAAATTTACATAAAAAAATTAATTTTGCACAAATATTGTTGCAAATCGGAGAATATTTAATGCAATTGGGATGATTATTTTGGGACTATATTTAAGTTAAAAGGGTTGTTCTTTTGGGGACGGAGGGAGTATAATTTTAGTTCATTGAGTTGAATTCAACTTCAATGTTTGATACTAATTCTTATTGATTTCATGATTATGCAGATATGTTATATGCTGAGCCTGATGATGCTGTTGATTTATTTGCACACCATTCTGGTGAGAAGCATTTCTATTTAATTTAATATCTAGTTTGTTAGAAAAGGAAATTAAATTATGATAGTACCTTGATTTGCTTTGTGGAATCATATAAAGCCATGGAAAATCAGCATATACACTTTTCATAAGTTGTTTATATTTTTTCTTTTGCAGGGCCACTTTATGCAGTTGCCTGTAGCCCTAAAAACGCGACATTAGTGGCAAGCGGGGGTGGAGATAATTTGGCTTATCTTTGGAATATTGGTTGTGAAGATAGGGTAAATGAGCTTAAGGGTATATGTCTGTTTGGTTTAAGTTTTTGTGTGTGCTTAACTTGATCTTATAACATAACTAAGTACATACTTTGAATCTTACTTGACTACTTGGGACTTTATATTTCGTTCATGTGTACCCAATGTTACTTTTGGAAAGGTTACTAAGTAATTCTGTTCACCTTCACTTGCCCTTATATAGTCCACATTAATTTTGTTGTAGGTCATAGGGACAGCGTTTCTTGTTTATCCTTTAGCAAGGATGGACAATTACTCGCTTCTGGAGGACTTGATGCATGTGTTAAGATTTGGGACATTATAGGCAATCTCAAATGTACGTTTCAAGGTCCCGTTGAAGACCATGAGTTTGAGGTAGGGAAAAATTATTAAAACAATTTCTTATAGTTCATCATTGTGCTGTGAAGGCTATTAATGGCTGTGCATGTACAGTGGGTAAGATGGCATCCAAGTGCTCATCTAGTCTTGGCTGGGTGTACCGATACAACTGTGTGGCTGTGGAATGCTGATAAAGGTGCCCTTCTCAGTGTATTTTGTGGTCATGGTAATCACGTGACCTGTGGTGGTTTTACACCTGATGGTATTTCTCCAATCACTTATTATATTCGTTTCCCTTAATGATGTAATAAGGGTAAAGTTAATTTTCACCCCTTTATTTCTCCAATCACCTTGAGAATATGGAATCCTAGAAGTGGTCAGGGTAATGTTGTTAAAGGTGAGCATTTTTAAAATTTGGTTTGCATTTTCTTATCACTTCCCATTATTTAGTGTAGTTAGCAGTTTATTACTTTATAATACTTAGGTTTAACAGGGGTTAAGAAATGTTTGCTTACGTATAGATAAAAGATGTTGCCAATTTTTTCTTTCATTAAGTAGAGTTTAGTGGGTAAGTTGCAAAGATAGTTGAAGCTGGATGTTAAGATCCAGAGATGTAACACGTTTACAATTGATGCTATAGGCCTGTAGCTACTTTCATATGAGTACATGGTGATCAAAGTTTACAAAATACCATTAAGGAATCCAAGATCGGATATGTGGAGATGGTAGGAATGTGGAGGCTCATTTACAAATTACAAGTATTTGTGTTTACTTATTATAGGAAACTTCTCCAAGGTTGTTTGTGCACCTACCTCTAAGGGCATCTACTTCTATGTGCACCCAAGTAAATGTAAGAATCCCCCTAACCCTCGACAAGGAATTAACTTGAGCAAACTTGAAGACAAGTCCTGTAACAATTTAGTTTAGCTGTAATGATACTGACTGCATTATAACCTAGAAAGTTATGAAGTTAAATAGCCATGATGATGAAGACAGTGCATATTGCATGTATGATTGAGTGAATTCTCTACTGGTTAAATTGGTTGCTATTCCATGATTTATGTGAGCTCTATTCTTTCTAGACTCTGCTAGGTAATTTGGTGATTTCATCCCTATGCCGCTATTGTTATAGGCTTATAGTTGATCAACGAAACGAATTTCTTTAGTGTTGCACACTCTGTTCCTTAAATTTCTTTACTATGAGATTTGCATTAGAAGGTAATTACTGAAGCTTTAGACAAAATTTTTGGGATAGAAAGAGGTTTTACCGTTGCAGTTATCTAAAAATAGAATTTGTGATAATTTAAGGGACAATTGATAAATGAAAGCATAATTAAAATCAATGAACAATAGTTATTTATTTATTTATCTCTCATTCAAGCTTCAATTTGAAGTAGCGTTGGCTTTATAGAGCCTCAAAGTCATTTATGAGTTTACGTGTTTCCCATTAGCAATCCTGCTTTGATTAATTGCTTGTAAGCTGTAAACCCACAGTGATGGTTGATAAAGGATAGAAATTAGTACATTTAACTTGGTGGTTGTTTATTCTAAAGCGATCAATCCCAAGGGCAAGTAGCGCTTGTAATTCCCGGGCGTTAACCCAATGACCTCTATTATCTGTGATCATTAGGCTATACAAAAGCTTCTGCATTGACATGCCTGACGTATACCCCCGATTCAAATCTTGCCCTTACTGGAGCAGAAAATGGTGTCCTTAGTGTAGCAAACATTGCTAATGAGAAGGTCAGTTATCCCATTTTTTGTGAGTTGTTTTGTTTTCCCTTTTTTATGATTGCAATGTGTGGAAATTATATCAAATTCTTTATCATGTTCCATATTCTTTTTTTGGATATTCTATTTAATGCGCACAGTAATCTCAATTTTGTTAACTATAATAATTTGTTGTTAGATATGAACATAAATTATAAAAAGAAATGTGCTTAATGTTTATCGTCTTGGCTTTATGGGTGCTAATGTGCTTTAATATATCTTTGCTGCTGATCTGATGCACTTGATTTGAAATATTTTCAGAATTTATGAGGTAAATTGGGGCAAGGATGATCTTGGACCTTATAGGTAGGCCATGACTTGGCCTGGTTATAACCTGTTTAACCCAATCTACTATGTTAATGGAACTGACTTCAATTGGGTTTACCCTTCATTATTTAAGCGAGTTAGGCTGGGCCCTTAGGTCTTCCAGTTCCTGTAACAATCTCCTTTGTTATTATCTCGTGTCTTGTTGGTTCGTTTGTTGTTATTGTTGTTTTCATCGTCTAATTTTCTTTCCAAAATGGATTGGCAGCAAAACAATAGATTAAAATATTAGTAAACCAGGATGAGAAGCAGCATAGGGTTGATAGATATTTATATCAGTTTCTGTTTCTCTCCTTATTTTTGGCAGATTGATTGATTCTCCCTTCTTTGATATCCTCTATGCTTGTCTCTCTCCTTTATTCTTTTAATTTTTTAGTGTGATGATTTACTAACTTTAATCACCTCATAGCTATTTATTTTATTTATTTTTTTTTAAAAAAAATTCAATAACCAACCCAAAAACAATTCATTAAAAACCCAATAAAATATTGTAAACGACAGAAAATCCATAATAGAGAATGCACGATAAGATGAGATCATGAGATATAAAAATAAAACTAAACTAAGGGGTCAATGATGTATTGTTTTATCATTCATGATTTAATTTTTAATATCCAGATATTTTGATGGTGTGTTCTGTGTGTTTATGCAGAAAATCTGCTTACCAATAGAATGCAAGTCTCTTGATGAGCCAAAAAGAGTAAACTGTATTTCCCATTTTTAATTTGGAACTTCCATGGCTATATATCAGCATTATATACATTTATAAAAATTGCCAAGCTTTCTTTTTTGTACTTTGTTGCTACTCTGGCTATTTCTTCACTAATCCTGAACGCTTTTATGTTATGAAGTGTTTATACCTCAAGGAGTTAAACCTTGACAGATTTGGCTTAATTTTACAATGATGATAATGGGTTTAAGTATTGCTTGAGCAGGTTACCAGCTCATTCTCGTCCCACTCAAGTTCTATTCAATGTATTGGGCTTTCTTTGAGGTAGTGCGTTCTCCCTTTTGCTGCAAGTGTTTGGTGATGGAGACAACTTTATTCAAATTACTTTAAAGTGTTAATGTGGAAATTTTGTTAAAACTGAATTCCGTATTAAGATGAAAATTTTATTAAATTAAAAGTATAAAGGTAAGAACCAAGAAAAAACAGCGAGTATAGTACTACCTCTGTTTCAAAGTATTAGTAAAGATTTGACATAATTTGAAATGGGGGTAGTAAATCAAGTAAAAACGCTTGTTTGTTTACATTTTCATTGAATCTAAGATGGATTTGAATGACAGCATGCGTTGGGTAGCAACTGGAGGTGCAGATGAGAAGCTTGTAATCTGGGATTTGCAGCATTCAGCATGTCGCAACATTTTTGAGTATCAGGTAGGTTGGGTGTGTCTGCACTTCTTTTGACTTCTTCAATATAGATAGACAATCATTTGTTTTGTATTTCTTCTGTAAAAATTATGAAATAAAAGGTGATTTATTTCAACGGTCTTGAATAAGTGGTTTTAATACATATTTTTATGATATTTGTCTTCATAAACAAGTGTGCGACTTTGAAAAGGTGGTGTAACACTCTGTTGGGGAGTGTTCGTTTTGGTGTCTAAAGTATGGGTCTCATTTTATATTTGATGTTGGTATAAAACATTGATGCAGGATGAGATAACTTGCTTGAATTGGCTTGGTGAGTCCATGTTGGTGGCTTCAGGATGTGGTGATGGGCAGATAATCGTATGTGATACTCGCTCAGGAGAGCATGTTAGGAGCTTTAAGGGCCACTCAGATAAAATCCAAGAACTTGCTGTGTCTGCTGATAACAACTTTCTTGTTTCAGTTTCAGAGGATGGCACTGCTCGTGTGTTTGACATATCAGACTTTAGATGCTAAGTTCATAATTATCTTGTACCTGTTTTATAGAAAGACAACAGTGAATTACTAATTGTTTAATTTTTATTTGGTGGATTATGAGTTGAAGAGATGCTAATTATTTGGGTGATTGATGATAAGAAAATATATATGCTTCAATTATTTGGATGATGTTAAATTGTGTAATTTTATGTTGTAACTTATCTATCGATTGCATAAAAGGTAGGTATGTTCATTGGCGAGCATAAGGGTCGAGCAAAACTACCCGAAGATTCGAATATCCGAAGATCCAATCCGTATTCGATTTTGTAATAATTTTTGATCAAATATCCAATTCGAAAATTTTGGATAATGCATACTTGTTCAAATATCAGCTTTTTGTATTTTTGAATATCTATTTGAAAAGTATTTGAAATATTTTGAATTTTGGAAATATTCCAGGTACCTCACACAAAGTCAAATAAGAGCTTCAAGATAGTAACAGTTCACCAGTTCAGTGCTCTGAAAATGGACGGCGGCCTATTCAAGTCATGCCAGTATCAACAAGTGCACTCACAGTCTAAACTTCGTCCCCCCAGCGCGGTTGTTCATACTTCATTTCCTTCTTCCAAACCAAGCCCTTCTTGGAGAGCATTCACTGAGTTACTTGCGATCTCTCGACGCCGAGAATTTCTTATTTCTTATGTGCCCGGGTTCGGCTAGCTTCTTCCCCACCCGGGCAATAAAGAAAGAGCAACACCCAGTCAATTCCCCAGATAAACAAAATTTGTTTATCTGGGGGTATAATTGTCTTTTCAAGTACCAGTGAAGGGGTATATGCGTCTTTTCATGTACTAGTTGAGGGGTACATGTGTAATTTCTTCACTAAACAGTAAAAGCAAAAAAGCAAACAGTAATTGGACAGGTCACCAAAAGTACTGAATAAATGACCCTGCTTTTTCAATATATTTATAAAAATGCCATCAGATTAACAAAAATTCGTTTATCTGGCAGATTAACTTGTATTTTCCTATAAAGAAACCCAAAATCAAAAAGAAAGAAGAGAAATCGGGCCATGTTTCCCGAGGGAGGCCGCCTTCTCTCAGGGAAATAGTCGACTAGAAGTAGAAGACTGCTACGGAACCGGGGCCTGGCCATCCTTCGTTTGCGGTTGACGTTCTGGCAAAGTTTTTCCATCGACAGTTGAATGTTTTGATCTGGTTCGATTTTCAAATTGAGAAAGGAGTGAAATTGGTACTCGTAAAACTTAAAAATGAGTGTTCTATATTATAGCACAGAAGATAGAGAACACACACAATAATAAAAAAACTTATCAAGTATATTAATTAATCTTATAGTACAAATTAAAAATCACTCGTTAAAGTTACTATAAAAATACTTAAAGTTACCTCAAATTAACCGTCTAACAAATCAAATAGATTTTTTTTTTTGAAACCAATTAGATAGATTTATTATTTATGATAATTTGATTTTGGGTAGGTTTAGGAAAGTTATTATATTAGAAAGATTTACTCCATATGGAGTACTTCCTCCGTTCTGTTAATATTGCAACAAGGAGGAAATTACGCATCCCAAAATACATTTTATATGCTAAATATCTATAATTGTGTAAGAGTAAAAATTATAAAAAGTTGATATTGTGAAAGTATTTTATAAGACGAATCCAACAAGATCTCACTTGACTATATTTTGCTTAACGTATAACTCATATCATACGGTCAAACAAAAGTGATGAATAGTGCAAAAAGTCCATTGTTGCAATATTAATAGAACAGAGGAAGTATTATTTATGGTAATTTGATTTTGGGTAGGTTTAGGAAAGTGATAAGTGGTAGAATTCTATTAGGTTTGGGTTATGTTTATTAGTCTATAAATATGAGTCAATGTCATCGATAAAACTCAAACAAAGAAAGCTTATGGCTGGTGATATTTTATTTAATCGACAAGAGCAAGATGATTTCAACCTCAGGTATTTTTTTCATTAAATTATAACTTAATTAACAACAAATCTAAATTAAAATAAAACCAAAGTGAAAAGAGAAGAACTCAAGAGCCTTATTCAGAAATTCTAAATGAGAGTTTTGAATTAATATTTTTTTTTTTATTTAGAAATTCTAAATTAAAATTGATTCTTTTTTAATTTTTATTTTTATTGAGTAATCAATAGTAGAATCATAAAGCTTCATTTTATAACCTCTATTTCACCTTGCTCGCAACTATTTATTTGCAATGATTAAACATTTATTTATTTATTTTTGTCAACAAAGTATTGAATCGTTGCAAATAAATACTCTCTCCATCCCTGATAGATAGTCACTTTTAAAGAAAAATCACGGGAATTAAGGAGAATTAAAGAAAGTACATTGAAAAAGTAAATTTACATTGGGTATGCAAAAAAGTAGAGAGAGAAATTAATTAAAATACATGGAAAAGTAAAATTTACATGGGAATGTTAAATTTGCACAAATATTTTTGCAAATGTTAGAGAATTTTGGTAAAAAAATAATATCAATGGTACTTGAAAAAAGCAAATGTGACTAACATTTTGAGTCACCAAAAATGGCAAAAGTGACTATCAATCGGGGACGGAGGGAGTAATACTGAAGTTTTGTACTACCTCCGTTTCTTATTATTTGCAACAAAGGGTATTATTTGTGAGATATAAAATATTCCTTTGTTGCACATAATAAGAAACGGAGGTAGTATATTTATACTATCATTGTAATGATCATTCTTTATATATACATACATATATAGAAGTAGGAATTTGGATTAATTATTTGCAACGATTAGATATTTTCCCTCTCTACTTTATGTCAAATCGTTGCACATAACGTGTAACGGAGGTAGTAATTAATGATACCGATGGTTTTCAGGAAAAAAGGTCGGAGTAAAACAAGTGTGATTGGGCAAACCTACCTAGGGATGTCAATGGGGCGGGGCGGGGCGGGGCGGATGTTGACCTTCCCATCCCCATCCCCACTTAATATTTTCATCCCCATCCCCGCGGCGGGTCTAATTTTCATCCCCATCCTCGCCCCACCGGGTACAACTCCAAAACCATCCCCGCCCCACCCCCCACTTAGATATCCATCCCCACCTAATCCCCACCAAAGACCCGTCTAATCCCCACCCAAGATCCACCTAATATCCGTATCTCAAATACACAATCTTACATAATTAATACGAATTATAAAATAAAACATTCTATACACATTTTTGTGTTATAATATAAGTGTCGTACAAAGTATTATAATTAATATTGTATTTTATGTAATTATTTTATAGAATAAAAGTATGTAATTTTGCTTTAAAAGATATAGATGTGGGTATGAGGTGGGGATGAGGCGGGTACGAAGTGGGGCGGGGCGGGGATGTAACACCCCAATAATTCTCCCTTTTAAAACCACTTACTTTAAATAAAAATAGAGGAGAACCATTGGCATGTTACCGCCACGTGTTAAAACGTTAAGGCTTTATCAAAGTATTGCAGCGGAAATCCAATTTAAATCTTAAAATAATATAATTTAGAAAACTAATAAGTCTTACAAATTGGAACCATAAAGACCCTTATTTAAAAACCAATAATCAAAATCCCAAAACATAATTAGAATAGTAAAACATAAATAAGTTTAACACAAAGAACGAATACTCTCAATCACACCAATCCCTTGACAATGCGTATGTCAAATCCCGAACTTCACATCATCAAGCTAACCTGTGCAATACTGCTCCCCAATAATACAAGTGTAATAATTGGATCATCACAGGGTCATTGAAAGGCGAAGACCATGACCAAAAGAAACACACAAAAGCACGCAATCAGCAAAGCTGAGTACATACAAGCTACAACACACAAAATCTAGCATGCTCAACTAGTTAAAGTAAATAAATATACAACTCGAATTCATTAATCAAGACTCTACACTTAAACAGTTCAATCGACCCAACATACTTGCTAATCAATTCCAAACACTTGACTCTTTATATTTAATTTAATTAATTTAATTTGGAGTAAGCAATAGACGAGGTTGTCCAATCCACCAAATCATTTTGGTCCCAAATGACCATTTAAAATAAAAGTTTAGCGCGATGCAAGAATGGGCGCGACTCCATTCTCACAAAGTTAGTCTAGGATCCCATCTTAACTTTCATTATAAAATAAAAATGTAAATACCAAAAGAGAAGAAGACATGTTGATCAAACAAGCCTCGAAAAGCCACGGGCTACCATCGTGTACCCCAACCCATAATTGTCAATACTCTAGAAGTGCACGCTTTCCAGAGTTTTATTGCTCATCCATGTTTCACTTTACGTGATTAAAATTTAATTAATAGCCGACTCAATCAAGAAGACCATACATAACAATCATACATCAATTCCCTTTTAATCTTATTTAGGACAATGGTGATCACATCACAAGTTGACCTTTACTTCCATTAAACTTCTAAATTATTCAAAATTGTTGAACATAGTCAACCCACCTAGCCATTTCGGCTTAATCCACCTTTACTCAACATACTAACAATTCATGATTGAGAAATAAAATAAATAACAACCTTGTGGACTAATTAATAAATTCATTCCACTTAAACCATTCAGTTTCAATCCTTTAATAATCCAAATGTGGTTAACAAACCGATCCAATAAAAATATGCTTGTATCAACATTCCATACAAACAATTAATCCAATATAATTCAACATGTTTGCATCCATAATTCCATACAAACATAATCAATTCACCAAAACATGTTTCATAAACATAAGCAAATGAATTAATTAAATGTATAACCAAACAATTTTCATCCAAGTGTTCTCTAATCATGAAACTAAGTTCTTTTCTTTGGTACCTAAACATGATACTACTTACAACGAAGTAGACATGTACGTACCTCGTGTAAACAATTCGGTTGGCCACTTAAAAACTAGAAATCACCTTCAATAAACTCCTTTCCTAAACCAAACAATAACATCTCAATCAATACCCAATCAATCAAATTTACAGCAACACTAACTTACTTTAAAACCTTCAAAATCCAAATCAAACAACACTTTAAAACCCTCCCTTTAGTTAAAATTAAAGGCTTATATATAGTGTTTTAAATTTTCTTCATAAAAACCTTAAAATACACTCTTATAAATGA